ATTATTATTATTATTATTATTATTATTATTATTATTATTATTATTATTATTTGGTATAGGTGCTCCTGCAGAAAATAATGTTGCTAAGCGCCCTACGGTTTTCTTGCCCTTCCATCTCCCTCTTTCTTCATCAGTTCTTGTCCTGTGTCTTGCTTATTAGTTCAGAACTGGGAGACGGAGTCGGGTGGGGAGAGAAAAGCATGTGGACTAGTCACCCCTGGATGGTTTCTGATGGAACAAGAGGCTTCTTAGAACTTACTTGATTGATTGATTGATTGATTGAATTTATATTGCTGCCTGTTCACCCATGGCAACTCGAGGCAGCTTACAGAATATAAAACCACATTTAAAACAATAAAACTAATGAAAAGAATCAAATAAATCAATATAGTATAATATAATAAAATCACCCCTCTGCCCTGGCAACAGCAGATCACACAAGCCATTTAATGGGCTCCATCCTGCTCTGGGCTCCCCAGGCCCACTGGCATAGAATAACATTTTTGTCACTTTGAACGTACAACGATCAATATACATTAAAAATGAAACTGCTGCAAACAACTCTCCGAGGGTCTCCACCTCCGATATACTTTCCATCAACATGATAAAGAAATAAATACAAAAGGCGTATATACGCACATATATCATACGACATGGAGAAACAACACAATCTAGTTCGAAGGTATACATGTTCATGGTGAGAGAAACGAATCTTGTGAGTTTACCAGATGGATGGCCTAGCGAACAAAGCTGTTACAGAATCAGGTAGTTGTGCTAGAAATACTTCAGAACCTCCCAGGAGGGAGCACAGAAACAGACGGTGAAGTGGGTGTGGGGGGGCCACTAACAGTGCTCTGGGGTCCTTGGGTCAGTGTTAACCGTTCTAAGAGAATGGCACCAGAAAGAAGCACCTTCGGGGCACCAGGTTTATGTTGCTTTTGAAAATTACATCCCACTTACACTTAATACCACACAAATATAGCCTGGAAGTTGTCACTAACAGAAGCTTACAGACAAAAGTGTATCTCCAAGCCGCAAAACCATACATTGCCACATGCAGTTTTTTTTTGTTTACTTGTCCGATTTCTAGACGATGCATTTTCCCACTAGGAAAGGACTGTTAGGACTAGCTGTGGTTTATTGAACAAACCACAGTTAAAAGACTCCACGGCTTTGTACGACTTGTGAGTCCAGCCGGTGATTTAAAATACCTGGCAACAGGGACAAAATGATTATATGAACTTATTTCTCAATGTTAAGATTTTGTCTTCTTGTGCAGACTTTTGAAGACTTTCCCTGCATCTTTTTTTAATGTTGCTTAAGGCTCAGTTAAGTTAAAGCTTGTAGATGGTGAAACGCTGCCTCTGGGCATGGGTGTTCTTTTAACCATGGCTAATTGTAGTAGAGATCTCTGCTCCAGCAAATTCCCCAGTCTGCAGCGGCTCTTAGCAATAGCTGCCAGAAACCAATCTTCGGCGGTGAAGCAGTAGTTCCTTTGATGCCAAATGCTGGGGATGGTTTTATAACGCTTCCTATAAAATCATATAAACGCAAGTGGAATTTATCCAAGTGACTGAAAGAAAAGATGTAAACAATGGGCAAAGTAGATTGGCGAAATGCGTCCAGAATATAGGCAGACTTTGACTTACAGTCCTAATTGAGCCCAAGGGAGGCCAGTGCATAAACATATTTTTAAAATAAATTTTATTAATATTTTTATTAATTACATTTCTTAGGGCTTGATAAACCGTGTTGTTCGGGGTATTTAATTTGCTTAACAATGCAGGTTCCATTCTTACTCTCCAGCCCTTTTTTTTTTTCCAACCACTGATAAAATAGATTCCATGTTTGATAATATTCTGTGTCTTCTTTCCGTTCGATCTTCAGTGTCAGTCTACCCATTTCTGCACCGTCTAGTATCTTCCCAATTACCTTGTCGTCTCGCAGTGTTTCTTCATCTTTCCAATATTGTACGAAGATAGTCCTCGTTGCTGTTAAGACATGTCATAAAACATTCCTATGCCTGTTTTAGTAGTTGCCATAAAAAGGGGGAGGGAGGAAGGAAATCTGGAAGAGCCGTGCAGCAGTTTGGAAGTGAATATACATTCCAACTCTTATCTTTAAAAGATTGTAGCTAAACTACCAGAGTTTTTGCCCATGAATATATTTAATTGGAGAACGTGATTGATGACACCCGGCCCATGAAGGTGCTCAATTGGAGAATCTGATTTATGACACACCCAGGGGGGAGGGGGGGAAACAGGGTCACCGGGGTCTGTAAATGACGCAGGCCAAAGTTGGCTTCATACAGGGCAGGTCCAGTATGTTGCCTCTAATGAATCCTTTGAAGTTTTTTGAAGTTTGGCTCGAGAATCATGATTTAATAAGGGCGATTGCTGGAATCCTGACAACGTGTAATACTAAATCCATATTTTTCTTATCCAATTTTTCTGACTTTTTTTTTTTTTTTGGTTTCTCTCCCAGCTCCCGACCCTTCGACAGTGCCAACATGGAGTGCTAGCGGCTGAAAGGAGGGCTCTGCGTTCCACAATGCCCGTGCAGGCCGCCCAGTGGACGGAGTTCCTGTCCTGTCCCATCTGCTACAATGAGTTCGACGAGAACGTGCACAAGCCCATCAGCCTCGGCTGCTCCCACACCGTCTGCCAGAGCTGCCTGAGTAAGCTGCACCGCAAGGCCTGCCCTTTCGACCAGACCGCCATCCACACTGACATCGACGTGCTGCCTGTCAACTTTGCGCTGCTCCAGTTAGTGGGAGCCCAGGTAAAGGGAGAGGTCACACAGACACAGACAGACAGACAGACACACACACGGAAGTTGACTTGCTGCAGAGGCTGAAAAAGGAAGTCTGCAGCGGGCAATCAAACAGGAGAAGAGAAGGAAGATGTATTTGCTTCTTTAGATTTTTATTCTGCTTTTATTACTGTATAAGTAACTCAACGGGGTGAACATATCTAACCCTCCTCCTCCCCACTCCTGTTTTCCAACAATTACCTCCCTGTGAGGTGAGTTGGGCTGAGAGAGAAGGACTGGCCCAAAGTCACCCAGCCGGCTTTCACGACTAAGGCAGGCAGAACTAGAAGTCAAGAGTCTCCTGGTTTCTGAGGCAGCAACTTAACCACTGCCCCGAACAATACCGCCTTTAGTAAGCCAAACCTGCCTGAACCATGTTGAGGAGAATCCAGATTTAACGGCCAGATAATTGCATGTTTATTTATTTATAATGTTTATATTGCCACACATGGCAACTGAAGGATATAAAAACACCACTTAAAAGAAATAAAATTAATAAAACATAAAATAATAACTCCCCCCACGCAGCACACAACCTCCCCTCAACTACATGCACATTCAAATCAGCCATTTAATGGGCTCCATCCCGCTCTGGCTTCCTCAGGCCCGCTGGCCAAGCCATGTCTTCGGAGCCTTCCAAAGAGCGTCGGAGTGAGGGCCAGTCTAATCTCTGGAGGGGTGATGTTCCAGAGGGAGAGAGCCACCACGGAGAAGGCCCTTCTCCTGGGTCCCACCAAATAGACCTCCTTAGGGGACGGGACCCACAACATTCGTTGCCTCCCTACTCTGGTGGGTCGGGTAGATGTGACCGGAAAGAGACGTTCCCTCAGATAACCCAGTCCCCAACCACGAAGGGCTTTAAAGGGGACAACCAGTACCTTGAATTGCACCCGGAAGCATATCGGCAACCAATGCAGCCCCCTCAGGAGAGAAGACACATGCGTACACCGGGGGCTGCATAAAACCATGTGGGCCAGTGCATTTTGCACCAATGGGAGCTTCCGGATGCTCTTCGCGTTCCATCCAGAGGACAGATCCTCATTAAATGTGTCTGCAGTTGGTCCTGAACTTACAACCACAATTGAGTCCCAGATTCATGTTGGCATCTGAGAAATGTGTTCAGTGAGTTTTGCCCGATTTTACGGCCTTTCTCGCCACCTTTGTTAAGTGAGTCCCTGCGGTCCTCAAATTAGTAACACGGTTGATAAGGGAATTTGGCTTCCCCCTCGACTTTGGATGCAGAAGGGGGTCACAGAACAACCGTCATAAATGTGAGTCAGTTGCCATTTTGATCCCGTTACCAGGAGGATGGCATAATGGTCATACAGTAAGTGTGAAAAATGGTCATAAGTCCCCCCCCCTTTTTTTTCAAGCGGTCCCTAAATGAACTGTTGTAAGTCGAGGACAACCTGTCATCTAATCTACAAATGGGGCATCCTTCCCCAAATCGCATCGTCCCTCCTGCCCCCCCCCTTTTTTTTCTAAACGAAGGTGCGCTGATAAGTGCTTCTCCTCGGGGCCCCTCTAGGTGCCCGATCGCCAGGCTCTCCAGCTGAGCAACCTTGGAGAAGACAAGCACTACGAGGTGGCGAAGAAATGCGTGGAGGATCTGGCCCTTTACCTAAAGCCGCTGAGCGGAAGTAAGGGTAAGTTCCTGCGCCTCCCTCTGGCTTCCTCCCGTTCAGCTGATGCCGGAATCGGGGCCTGAACATGGCAGCCACTGCGCATAAAGTATTTTTTACTCCGTAAGATGCGCTCTGGCTTTTGGTCTCGGCGTGTCCCGTTTTGGGCCTCCACACATCCAGTTTTTCAGCCCGTTTTCAGCTTCTGTACCCCACCATTTTGGGCCCGTTTTTTAAACCTCTACGTAGCCCATTTTTTGCCTGTTTTCGGCCTCTGGGCATTCTGTTTTTCAGCCTATTTCTGGCCTCCCCACAACCCATTTTGGGAGGCGTTTTTGCCCTCCATGCATCCTGTTTTTCGCCCCTGTTTTTTTGATCTCCTTGTGTCCTGTTTTTTGGCCTCCACGCACCCCATTTTTGGCCTCTGCGCATCCTGTTTTTTCTGCCCCTTTTTGACCTTCGCATGTCCCGTTCTTTGGCTCACCTTTGGCCTCCATGCGCTCCATTTTTCAGCCCATTTTTGAGGGGACCGATTTTGGTTTCTGCAGGGAGGCCAATAGTGGGCCAAAAATTAGATGCACAGAGGCCAAAAACGGGGCACATGGAGGCCAAAAACGACCAAAGGGTGCTGGACGGCAAGATTCACTCCCTAAGACGCACAGACATTTTCACCCTCTTTGGTGGGGAGGCAGGAAAGTGCATCTTACACTACAAAAAATACAGTATTTTGAGGACAATTTCTGAGGGGGAAGCGGGGACTCCTTGCCCCTCACCCTGGTCCGTAACTGTCCTGTTGTTCTTCAAAGGTGTGGCTAGCTTAAATCAGAGCACGCTCAGCCGGCCGATGCAACGGAAGCTGGTGACCCTGGTGAACTGCCAGCTGGTGGAAGAAGAAGGCCGCATCAGGGCCATGCGGGCAGCTCGCTCCCTCGGGGAAAGGACCGTCACCGAGCTGATCTTGCAGCACCAGAACCCGCAGCAACTCTCGGCCAATCTCTGGGCCGCTGTCCGGGCCAGGGGGTGCCAGTTCCTCGGGCCGGGTGAGCGGTGTGGTGGAGGAGGAGCAAGAAGGCGGCCGCCTTTCGCTGTTGTTCAGCTTTAATACGAAGAGGCGGCTTTTCTCAGTTTAACCGCTGTGAGGAAGGAGGGTTGGGGTGAGAGGTGTTAGCTAAACAAGCTAACACAACCCTGGGTTGTGTAAACGGAGGCATAGAATCAAGATCACGTGAAGTGTCAGTACCGTTTTATAAAGCCTGAGTGAGGCCACACTTGGAATACTGCAACCAGTTTTGGTTACCACGTTACAAAAAAGAGGTTGAGGCTTGGGAAAAAGCGCAGAGAAAGGCAACTAAGATGATTAGAGGGCTGGAGACAAAAACATAGGAAGAAGGGCTGCAGGATATGGGTCTGGCTAGTCTGAAGAAAAGAAGAATTAAGGGGTGACAAGATAGCAGCATTCCAGTATTTGAGGGGCTGCCACAAAGAAGAGGGAGGGTCAATTTATTCTCCAAAGCACCAGAAGGTGCTTTATCAGGATCGTTAAATATCAGGATTCAGGTCATGCTTGTAGAGAGTATAATTCCCTTCCATTCCCCACCACTTAATTAGAACCGAAGAAGCTTCTTGGATGAGACGTGAAATGTCTTAAAGAAAAACAAGAAGTTCAGTTGCCTTTGGGGCACTTCCTGGAAGCCCCTGGTCTTGATAAGGCAGAACTAAGATGATCAGAGGGCTGCAGACTAAAACATGTGAAGAACAGTTGCAGGATTTGAGTTTAGCCAGTCTGGAGAAAAGAAGAATTAGAACATGATAGCAGTATTTCAGTATTTGAGGGGCTTCCACAAAAGGAGAGGAGAAGAAATTATTCTGCAAAGCACCAGAAGGGCAAGGCAAGAAACGATGGAGAGAAGCAGCCTGGAATTAAGGAGAAACTTCCTAATAGTGAGGACAATTAACCAGTGGAACTCCTCGCCACCAGAAGCTGAGGGTGCTCCATCCCTGGAGAGAGAGATTGGAACTTCAAAATATCGAAAAGAATGGAGCTGGATGGGACCTTGGAGATCTTCTAACCCAACCCCCTGTTGAAGCAGGAGACCCTATACTATTTCAGCCATTTGTCTGAAATCGTATGGGTCTCCTGCTTCAATGGGGTTGGACTAGAAGACCTCCAGGGTCCCTTCCAGCTCCATTCTGTTCGATATTTCGAAGTCCTCCTGGCAAGGAAGAGAAAGGAGGCCACCCCGTTTCTTCTGGTTCGGCTTCCCCCACCGTAACGCCATCCTTCGGTCTCCCAGCTATGCAGGAGGAAGCCTTGAAACTGGTCCTGCTGGCCTTGGAAGACGGCTCGGCCCTCTCCCGCAAAGTCCTGGTGCTGTTTGTGGTCCAGCGCCTGGAGCCCAGGTTCCCCCAGGCGTCGAAAACCAGCATCGGCCACGTGGTGCAGCTGCTCTATCGGGCGTCCTGCTTCAAGGTGTGACATTTGGGTACCTTACTTGCTTACGATACGAATTTGTACAGTAAAATGTTCAAAGATAAATCAACTAAATTCTGGAAGTGTCTTCAAGCACCAGGAACATGCTACCATATGTGGTGGGCATACATAGAAGCTAAAAGATATTGGACTAAAATACACACGTGGTTGGAAAAAATGATTAAACAACCTAGAGATTTGAAACCTGAAATATTTTTATTAGGAATGATACCTGGAGGTTACAATAAAGAAAGAAAAAACATACCTGTATTTACAGCAGCTACAACTGTATTTGCTCAGAATTGGAAAAGTGATAAGATACCAATAAACGGAAAAGTAATTGAAAAAAATATTTGAATGTGCAGAAATGAATAGATTAACCTTAGAAAAAAGAAAAAAGAAGTATCTGAATATTATATGGTATGGGATTTGTTTTATCAATGGTTAGAAAATAAAACTAATTAAAATGAACCATAATGCAATAAGAGAAGCTTGTGAAATAGATATATTGAATGTTACTTATATGGGAATGTGATTATTGTTGTATCGATAAGAGCATTATTAGTAATTGTTAAGCACACGAAATATGTACCTAATCGACACACGATTGAAATGGAATGGATTTATTGTATGTAAAATATATATATGTTATGACTCCCCTTCAAAATTCAAACGGACAAAACAGAAAGCAGCCGTTTCACAATTAAATCAAACGGAAAGAAGTCTTACAAGATAACGGCTGGCAGAAACCTCAATCCACAGCATAAATCTTCACTCTGTCCGGCAAACCAGTCCTGGCAATAAATCTCCAGCCTCAGAGCTTCTTGCTGTAACGTCCTCACTCAAATAGTCACTTTGTTCCTGGCAAAATGTACCAGCCCAGCTGTGTCCTTTTATACTCATTGAGGCAAGGTGCTAATTTACTGACTCACCCTCCTCCTTCGTTCCAGCTGATTTTGCCTTCTCAACCGTCTTCTGTTCCTTACATTTAACCACAAATTTTCCAAGTTCTCATCTCCACTAGAAGACTCTCTCAAAACTTCCCTGTCAGCCATTCCCGGCTGTTGATCAGATAAGGAACCAGAGGAGGTCAAAGGTCCTGACAATTCTAATACATCAGGTCTGTCTTCCTTTGTCACGTCCATCTCCTCATCCTGGTTACCAGTCCAATCACTGAGCCATGCCGGCTCATATTTTTCTGCCATGACCTCCTCACTTGAACTCATATCAGTCACAGGAGCTGAATCCAAGCCCGGAGCCACAACATATATATATGTATACATATATATAAAAAAAAACAAATTTATACAGAGTGACTCCGGACGTCTTGGAAAGGATTAACTGAGCGGGTCATGTTTCTTTATTCAGGTCACCAAGAGGGACGAGGACTCTTCCCTGATGCAGCTGAAGGAGGAATTCCGCAGCTACGAGGCCTTGAGGCGGGAGCATGATGCTCAGATTGTCCACATCGCCCTGGAAGCCGGTCTCCGGATCTCTCCCGAGCAGTGGTCCTCCCTCCTCTACGGCGACCTGGCTCACAAATCCCACATGCAGTCCATCATCGATAAGGTCAGCTCCGGCCTCCAAGGAAGCTGCTGCTTCTGCCCACTCCCCCTCCCCGGGGGTGGGATTCAAAAGCTTTCACGACCGGTTCTGTGGGCGTGGCTTGGTGGGCGTGGCGGGGGAAGGATATACTGCAAAATCCCCCTTCCCTCCCCACCCCACTGACCTGCTTTCCAGCTCCGTTCTCCTGGGCAGGGCAACCAAAGGAAGACCCAGCCGATCAGCTGGGACTCGATGGGAGGCAGAGAAGAGACGGGGTTGGCGGGTCCAGTCAGAGACGGGATTGGCCGGTTCTCTGAACGACCCAAAATTTCCGCTACCGGTTCTCAAGAACCGGTCAGAACCGGGTGAATACCCACCTCTGCAGAGACCCCCTTCTCCCTGCAAACCTTACAAGCATTGAGTCAAGTGCTTTCTGAGCTGCCCTTGCTCAAGATCCCCCTTTGATTTTTGGGAGGGGGGAGGACGGGAAAGATATTTAAGGGGGGCTTAGAAAGCTAGCCCCCCCCCTCCATGTTACCCAGCATGCCTTGGGCTGGGGGCTTGGGTCCTTCTGGCTTCGCCTAGTCTCGTCGTTGTGCGGTTTAATTTGGGTCACGCAACCTCTGTTCCCGGCACTAACTGCTTAGGGGATTCTGGGGCAGTGGTGGTACTCAAAAGTGTTTTTACTACTGGTTCCGTGGGCGTGGCTTGGTGGGCGTGGCATGGGAAGGTTACTGCAAAATCCCCCTTCCCTCCCCACCCCACTCACCTGCTTTCCAGCTCCGTTCTCCTGTGCAGAGCAACACATGAAGACCTAGCTGATCAGCTGGGACTCGATGGGAGGCAGAAAAGAGATGGGGTCGGCGGGGCCAGTCAGAGGTGGGATCGGCTGGTTCTCCGAACTACTCACAATTTCTGCTACCGGTTCTCCGGAACCGGTCAGGACTGGCTGAAGACCCTCCTTTGCCCCCCACCCCCACCCCTTCCTCCTGCCAGCAAGTGAGCTTTGACGCATCCAGTGATGAAGTTGCATAGGGCAGATTCTGAGCTCGGAGCTGCAGCTCCTAAACGCTGATCTTCTGTTTATGCGGTCTGAGGATGCGGCTCCGTTCTGGGGACGAAGGGTTTTCCTCTGCCCTCTGTGCTGTATGTCCTTCCGAGAAACAAAACCTGGGTTTTGAAGACATTTCCCCACTATCCTGGTCAGAGCTGAAGAAGCTTCTTGAATGAGAAGTGAAACGTCTAAGACATAAGAATTTATTTGTCATTACACTCGCAAGCGGGTGCAACGAAATGAGGTGCTCTTCCACAAGTAAAACTGGACAACACCATTGAAAGAAAAATAAAATTAAACACAACAGACCATACAATAATCTCTATACAATTTAAAAATGTAAATACCCCATTACTCTCAGCCATTAAATTCCACAAAAATCTTATGACGCTGCATTCAAACTCAAAACTGCACTTGGATAAAAACTGTTCTTAAATCTAGTCGTCCTTGTTCTTAATACCCTGAATCTCCTTCTCGATGGTAATAGTTCAAAGAGCTGGTGTCCCGGATGAGAGGAGTCATTCAATATATGAAATATCTTCCTCTTACATCTATTCCTATACCGTTCTTCCAAAGAGGGGAGTGAGCAGCCAATGATGTTTTGGGCCATCTTAATCACCCTCTGAATTGCCTTTTTCTCTGCCACTGTGCAGCTCGAGAACCATACACAGAGACAGTAGGATAATATACTCTCAATTGAACTCCGATAGAAGGTAGTCAGTAGACTCTCAGCCAGTTGTGGTTTCCTAAGAATCCTTAGTAAATACAACCGTTGTTGTGCCTTCCTAATTAAAGCAGCGGTGTTTGCACTCCAGGTCAGGTCATTTGTAATGAAGGTCCCGAGATACTTACATTCAACCACCTGTTCCACACAAACTCCCTCTATATACAGTGGCTGAATGTCTGCTCTTTTTTTCCTATAGTCCACTATAACCTCCTTGGTCTTCTTAATGTTAAATAGAAGATTATTATTTTTGCACCAGTGGGATAGCTGTAATACCTCATCCCGATATGCAGACTCATCATCTACGAAAGGAAAAAAAAAAACAAGAAAGTCCACTTGCCTTCTGAAAAAAAGGGCACCTTTGAGACAGCATAACGGGATGGCGGAGACTCTCTGCAGACTTTTAGCTATGCAATTTGGGATGAACACAGTTGGAATGGTGTGGGAGGAGGAATGGATTTCCAGAGGAAACGAAAGTTGCAGACTAGGGGTAAGAGGAGCACCACTCAGGGGACCCTCAGGACCCGGATAAACCTCCAAATGGCCTCAAGAACTCTCTAAAAGGATGCAAATGACCAGTTGTCTGTCCCCATCCAGTCAGAGCTGAATAAGCTCCTTGGATGAGAAGCGAAATGTCTTCAAAGAAAAAAAAGGAAGTCCCATTTGCTTCCTGCAAAGGCACCTCGGAGATTTGGATGGAAGTGAACCTGCTTTTTTTCTTCCTATCACCCAAGGCCTTGCTCAGCACCCAAATAATATTTTTATATGTCCTCCCGCTCCAATATCTGTAGGTTAAGCTGCAACATCGGTGCTACGTTAAGAAAGAACGCTCATTCCTTCAAATGCCAGGAAACCCCCATCACCACCACCACCACCCCGAAAAATCGGCCACT